ATATGTAAAGCAAGTCTTCTGAGATACAAAATCTTAAAACTCAAATATTGAGAAATGGTCAATAGAGTTTTTACTACTTACAAATCAAATTCCATTAATAAGACTTTTAGCCCAATCTAAACCACCAAAAGCCCATCTAAGGGTTCAGCACTATTTGGTCCAATCAAATTCCAACTAACCCAAAAATCTAAATAGTAGGCAACTTAGTATAACAGGATTTAATCCACAAAGAAACTACAGAAATTCTCCTGAGCCATTTTTAAAATGGGCTTTTCTGTTTACTGTGCAGTTTAAACATGCTCAAAACTAATAGCAACAATAAAGGGTATGTAAGCTCATGTGAAATAGCTTATGCTTCAAAAATGTGACTTTTTTTTTGAGTTGGAATCTCACTCTGCTGCCTAGGCTGGAGTACAGTGGCACCATCAAGGTTCATTGTAGCCTCGACCTCCTAGGCTCAGGCGATCCTTCAACCTCAGACTCCTGAGGAGAGGGATCACAGGTGCATGCCACTGTGCCCAGCTAATTTTTTTTATTTTTTGTAGAGACAAGGTCTCACTATGTTGCCCAGGCTGGTCTTGAACTCCTGGGCTCAAGCGATCCTCTTGCCTCAACCTCCCAGAATGCTGCGATTATAGGCATGAGCCACTATTCCCAGCCAATGTGACCACTTTTAATTTAATTTTTATTTCTTTGAGACGGAGTTTCACTGTCACTTAGGTTGGAGTGCAATGGCATGATCATGGCTTACTGCAGCCTTGACCTCCTGGGTTCAGGCAATCCTTCTGCTAAGCTTAGCTTTGCAAAGTGCTGGGATTATAGGCATGAGTCACCAGGCCTAGTCCACTTTTTATCTTAAACTAAAATATATTTTGACTTTTTTCAAGAAAGTTCTTCAGAACAAGTTTGAAATGAGAAGTCATTTGGTTTCCTTAAGTTTTTACAATAAAAGCAAAAAAAAAAAAAGACCATTTATCACAGTATCTCTACATACAGAAATCCTTAAGGTTTGCCCTAAGATAGCTTTTCAAAGTAACTTAAAAACAAATCATAGAAACTAGAAACATGAAGACTACTTTGGTAAGTCACTTGGCTTTTCTTTTAGAGTGTTTATCAATAAGCACAGCAAGAAATGTGTGTGAAACTGGCCACAGGGGCTCACTGGTTGCAGTTTTACTTAGAAGTAATGGGAACACCAAACCTATTGCCTTTATGTCAGGGAATCATCCAGCGGCTCTAAAAAGAGAAGTAAATGACACGATTGAATTAAGAAAACCAACAAAACTAGATCATTGATATAACTTAATGATTTCTAAGAACATTTCCAGGTAGCTATGGTTAGCAACAATAAAGGGTAGCAACGATACTGTTACAGCTGTGGCAAATGGAACTATGAAATATCTCTCTCAAAGCATCATCATGACTTCTGAGCATGGTTAACAGCCTTCCACTAGACCCATCTCATTAACGCTTGTGTTGAGATTCTACAAATCTTGTGGCTAATACACCAAGAATGGTTCTATTCCCCTGACTTCAAATCAGAATAGCAACTAACGTGAGATCTAACGAATCCCTAGTATGCCGCTTACTGGCCATGGGGTCTCAGGTAAGTTTTGTGTGCCTCAGTCCCATCCCCCTCCTCCACCAGCCTATCAACTGGGTTAAAACTGTACTTGGTACAGAAAGTGCCGAGTATTTATTAACTGAAGGATTTAAAAGTTAAAAAATAAAAAACGGTTTCAACACACACAACTGTACTAATGTTCCAGTTGTTGGCACACAGATCATTGATTCTAGATCTTTTAACAAGAAGGTATCATTTTGCTAATACACCTCAAAAACTATAAGAGCTCTGATCTCAAGTGACCTTTGGGGCCAAACTGATTAAGCATCAATTGACTGGCATACTAAACAATGTAATGGATTTTATTCAGAAATGACCATTTTACACACTTGTCTCCTAAGAGAGCTGTTTTCCTCTTATCTGTGCTCACACTAGAATCGTTATCCAGTCCTGACAAAAGCATGCATTCCCAGCGAGCAGGGGTATAAGTCTGATGTATCTAAGCCATTTTCTGTTTGTGTAAGGAAAGGTATTGAGGAAGGTCTCCAGTCTCCAATCTGCATTTTACTTTATTCGTTTAAGTATGTCCAAAGAGACCTATTTTATTTTCTTTAGATGTTACAGAGACTTGTTTTTAAATAATGTAAGGTTTGTTACATTCAATCTCCCAGTCAAAATGCCAGTACCTAAGACATCTATATAGGAATTAAATTATACTAACACATATTAGAAAAACGTTTTGAACTTGAGAGCACCTTCAGTTTCACCTTCAAAAGCTATCTAATTACAGTAAATGAAGATTGTTATTATTTTTAAGGAGGCCTACATTGGCTATCTATTACAGGTGAAAGCTATTCAGATTTCATAATGTACCAGATTTTAGAAAAAAAGAAGGCAGGGTAGTAAAGGGATATACTAAACTCAGAAAGCTATGTTTTAATATCATTGTACTCATTCATGAGCTTTGTCAAATCTGTAAGGCAGCCTTTCAGCCACTAGAATAGGATATTCAGTTATGGATACCCTATATGGATAGGGTATTCAGTTATATTGTTAAAGGAGTCAAAAAAATGGGAACGACCTATGAAGATAGTGAATTCATTAAACTGTCACCACAGAGGGCCAAAAGTAAGATGGCACCGTGGGGAGAACAGAATTTGGGACTAGCATGTAAGCTTTTCTAAGAAGTGCTAGACAAAAGCACCTTTTAAAAATTTTTCATTCCTGGCCAGGTGTGGTGGCTCACACCTATGGTCCCAGCTACTTAGGATGCTGAGGAGGGAGGATTGCTTGAGCCCAGGTTGAAGAGGTTGAGGCTGAGTAGCTCCGTGATCCTGCCACTGCACTCTGCTTGGGCAACAGTGAGATCCTGGCTTTAAAAAAAAAAAAAAAAAAAAATTCCATTCCTAATAAGCAAAAAGGGCATAAAAACAGGCCTTTTGTTCGTCTTTTAAAAAAATATGAAGTCCCCAAGGACACTAAGTTCAAATCAAACGAAGTTTTCATGAAACCACTCAAAATACAATTTTGAGTTAATCATTCTCAAGTGCCAAACTATGTACCGATATGAAATTTCCCTAAAATTCTTGTCAATACATCTAGGTATATCCCTAAGATCAGAAGCAGATAGTCATATACATTAAGCTCAGTATTTACAATCTGAATATATATATTCATGTTCCAGCCTGCTACAAAGCCTACTACTTATGCACTGCCCAGCTGCCTCATTCTGATGTTCAAAAAAAGTGCATGAACTTGAGCCTTTCCTCATTTACAAGTAGGCAGTTTTCTTCCAAGCCCATGCTAACTTTACCGTAAAGTCTCTAGCAGAAACTAGTGCTTAAAACCATTAGCCTGATTGTTCTCTTAAAGCTATTCAAAGTTTGTGATCACAGAGGCACATAATTGGTAAGTGATGGCAGACCAGATCTCTGCCAGTCTCTCAGTATTCCAATGCTTCTTCATAGCCTCATTCTGTCCACGGAAGGACAAAGGCCTCACCATGGAGCTGAAGAACAGCTTAGCTCTGTTATTTCCAGTGCTGGTTTCCTTACAACTTTTTATTGCTCTAAACTGCATGGGTAAATGACAAAAGGCTTTTGTAGACTGGTGTCCAAAAACTCATTTGAGACCAGATTTACTTCACTGGTAACCCAGAGCTGGTTTCTTAATATAAAAGAACAGAGAAAGTTATTTTCTTCCAGTTCAAGACAACTTTCTCACCATACTATGTCAACACTATCAATGGACATTTCAACAGTGAAGAGACTCATCATTTTATTTTTATGATCTCCCTTCCAACTTCTTAGTTTTTAAAAACTCCATCCTCACCAAACCACTCCATTTTGACACACTATCAATAACTAATCTTTAAACACACCAAAACCAGCAAGCTGGATACTCATTTGCAAAAAATATGTAAACTTTTGTTGGGAAAATGAAAACATACTAACAGTTAGCAACTCTGAATAGATTTTAACAAGTTCTCTAGCTACATACAATGACTAAACTTTAAGGAGTAGTAAACGGCTCTAAATCTTTTCAAAGGTAAGGTCAGCTGCTTTGACCAATCAAGTTTCCTGAGCAAAAGAGAAAACTGATCCAGTGCTCTCTCCTTATAAGTTGCAAATAAATCCTCTCAGATTACGAGTGAATTTCATCTTATCACCTGACTCTTTCCTAGGTGTCAGCATGACACCACATTTTAAAACTTGCTATAGCATTGACTATTCTTAACATACCACCCCCATCATGGGAAGACGAAGGTGGACCGCTGGTGATTGTTTAAAATATAAAGTTGTCAACCAGGTGCAGTGCCTCATGCTGGTAATCCCAGCACTTTGGGAGGCCGGGAGTTTGAGAACAGCCTAAACAACATAGGGAGACATGGTCTCTACAAAAATTTTTATTTTTATTTTTGAATCGGGGGTCTCACCCTATCTCCCAAGCTGGAGTGCAGAGTCATGATCACAGTGGTCACAGCAGCCTCAACTTCCTGGGCTCAGGTGATCCTCCCACCTCAGCATCCCGAGTAGCTGGAATTACAGGCACGCTACCACACCCCAGCTAATTTAAAATTTTTTTTTTATAGAGACAAGGTCTCGCTACGCCACCCAGGCTGGTCTCGAACTCTTGGGTTCAAGCAATCCTCCCATCTCTGCCTCTCAAAGTGCTGGGATTATAGGTGAGAGCCACTGTGCCTGGCCAGAAAAAATTTTTTTAAATAAAGGTGTCCCAAGCACTGGTCAGTCCACACAGATCTGACAGGACACGTTTTTATGTGGCAAACCACCATTTGGTGCACTAGCAGAGTACCTGCTTTCCACTATTCCTTTGTGATTCAATGACTCAGACCTTTCTCCAGCATGCACAATATCTTAACTCCCGAGGTAGATCTTTAGAAAACACTTTAAAACAAAGACCACAACAGGGCATCTTTAATTTTAAAGAATTTTAATACAAACTTAATATAAACTATTTCAGTCCCTCTTAACATGTAAGACACTGACTCAAAATACTCTTATACCGTTTTTCAAGTATTGCACAATATAGGTACAAAATTAATATTTACGATTACATTTTTCTTCCATAATATATAGCAAAAATCTTTAAACCTTTAACAGAAAATACATTTTTTTTTTTGAAAAAGCAAATATTCGTACATTTTAATTCCACCACTAAAGGAATATCCTGTACACAATTCTTAGAACAGGTGATGTCTTTAAGATGGATATTTTACAATTTCAGTAAAAAAAATACAACATGAAGCTGCTGCTGTCACAGATCACTGTAGTAAAAAGATATAAATGCAATACCATGTCGTAGAAACAATATATATATCCTCTGATATTTTACAAACTTTGTACTAAATTAAATTATACAATTAGAAAAGACCAATAAACCCACTTATTAGTGCCAATTTTTTATAAAAAAAAAAAATCAGCCATGTCCTTGCTATATCTTAAATACTGTAAGAGGCCATATCTGAGAGTATACTTTAAAATACACAGTCAGTATAAAATAACTTTGTGCTTGGTTGGCAAATGAAAAATGATGCATGTTTTATTTTTGTAACCAAGCTTGAATGTATCTTTACTATAAGCTTAAAAAAAAAAAAAAAAAATCTCAAGGAGGTAAAAAAAAAAAATCCCCCTTGGGCCCGTGCATTTTTAACTTGTACATTTTTCTTTTTTTAGTTAGCCATAACAGGCTGGAATTGCTGGTTAGAATACTGCATGTTATTTAAGCTAAAATTCAAGCCATCGACAAAAGACTTCTCGTTGAGGCCTCCATAGGCCGCAAACACATCAAAGGCATTACTGTACTGGAGAGGACTGAGGTTAAGGGGGCTGTCACCTGGGAACATTCCACTGGTACTACTACCTTGACCCTGCATATTAGGAAAAATAAATTCCTTGGCATTAGGAGAGAGAGCAGAGGTTTTCTGCTGTTGCTGTTGCTGTTGCTGCTGCTGTGGTGGCGGCGGCGGCTGGGATGGCTGCTGTTGCTGCTGCTGGCTCCCCAGGCCCAGCCCATACAGAGAGTGCATTGAGGAAGAGATGGCTTTCTGCTTCAAGAGGTCATTCACATTCAAGCCGAGGTTGATCGGAGAAGTACGTGCAACCTTGTTGCTACGGCCACTATTCTTCATTTTGGTAGAACCGAACTTGGTGGCAGCAAAAGTGGCAGTGGTAAAGGTTAAAGGCTGAGTGGACCGGGGCATGAAGGTAGGGCTTACAGCAGCAGAGTGACCAAAGGGAGGCGATGGAGAGCTGGACACTGATGAGGCTGGGTCACTTATGGGCATAAAAACCTGGGCCTCTGGGTTAAAGCTGTTTTTGATCTCCTTATCCAACTCACATCCATTCTCATTATTGTCATCCACATAAAGCACCTTCACTGGTCCCTTTTCACCAATTTGGTAAGAAACCTCAAATGGGTCGATCCAAACACTAAGATCCTGTGGCAGATTGCCACGAACATCATCAATGTCCAAACCACTCTCTTTGGATGCTTGCTCAATCACTGGGTCCACTTTCTCCCCTACGTGTATACATCTAAACCCTGATCCTTTGTATGGCTTTTCAGGATACCAGTGCCCTTCATATTTCTTCTTAAGAAGTCTTTCCAGCTCTTCACCAAAAATGTTGACACGTCTCCTGGGAAGCTTATTGTACAAATATGAAATAATAAAATTTAGTGCTACTTGGATTTCAAGCTGCATAGCTGCTATGCCACAAAGTTAGGTTTGTTTCAACTCCCACACCAAAAAAAAAGTGTTCAGTTTGTGGCAGAGAAACAGATTTTCATTCAAAGTGCTGGTATTAGTGGATTATCCTTCACCTTGAGTGATCTTGTTCCTTAAAACAAAACAAAAGCAAACATGTCCAAATAAGATAAATGGAATATAAGTCCCATGACCTTTTTTTAAACCCCTGGAGTAATTTCACTTTTGAAAATGTCTAATAGGGCAGAAAGCCTGAAAAATATAATTAGCACAAAATAAAGAACATACAGTCAAAAATTGTTTACTAAAGTTCAAAATCTCATGGGAAAATGTAGACTTAGAGTTAACATAATATTTTTAAAGATCCTATTATGTACTTGTTGTTTCTAAATAGAGTTCTAAGACAAATAATATTTCTAGAATATGTATTCTTTTTCTTCACCCAATTCTCCTAAGAATATTTACTGGAACCTGTATTTAGCACCCTCCACCCCTGACATATGCCACTTTTAGAAGGTAGTCATTAAGTTTTGTTATTCATCAAATTAGAAGTGATTCCTACATTTAGGATATATTCTGTTTAAGTCTTCTCTACCATTAACATTTTGACATTTGAGAAGTTAGGAAAAGAATTTTAACTGCCAAAGTACACGATGCTGAAATTAAAGGTACTCATGAGTTTCATCCTAGTGAATGACAATTATGAACCAAAATTACCCTATGTAGTAAATATACTAAGGACATACAATAGAACAACCGAGCTTCTCTGGTGCCTCCTTCGTTCTCAAAGTGTATTTTCCCCAAGTCTGAAAAGCACCTTCTCGGCGGCCGATATAACAAAAGCAACGGCGAATTTTAAAACTCCACCGATTAGTCCGTGTGAAGGCCAGGGTCTCCGAGTTTTATTCTGATTTTGAAAAACCACCCCCCTCCCGCTCCCGACGGGCGGAGAGGCATGTGAGATAAGGTCGACCTCTCCACGTTTGCTGGATCAGCACTGGGTGGGGATAAGGAAAGATCAAGGGCAAACAGAAGATATTTGCGAAGGGGATCTGTTTGCACACCGAGGCTGAGGGAAAAGGGCATTTAAAAACCAAGCCGGTCTCCACCCGGCGGTTCCACTTTCCACCTTCGTGGTGACAAAGGGAAAAGAGCCCCTGGCCGCCCCCAAACCCCGACCCTGCCCAAGTCGGCGGCCCGAGCGCCGGCGCCGGCAGCTGGGCCAGCCCGACGGCTG